TTACACTTAGATACAATTTGTATTTATATTAAAAAAAAAAAGAAGAAAAGCGTTCTAGATGAATAAAATTTGCTTTAAAATATCACACATAATAATATAAAATTTAATTTTTATGTTTCATTTCTCTATGAGAAATATATAGAAGCATTAAAAATGTTACATTCAATTGTAAACTGTCGACTAACAATAATCATGGATACAGTTTTGATTCATAATTTCTAAGTGAAATGTTGAAATTTATTACAATTGAATAAGTATTATTTACAAAGTTATATATACATACATATGATCTGAGAATGGAAATGAGAAAGAAAGTAAGTCATTGAAACTCCTATTCATTCTCATAAGATAGTTTATATGTTATAAAAGTAAAGATGCATGTACACAAATAATTATGAACAATGCTCAGATCTTTACTAAAATCTAACAATGAGTACTATATCTTTAAACTATAAAACTAAAGTTCAATTGTTTTTGGTCTTTAATCAGCTTGATACATCAGATGAGCCCCCAAAATGCCCTGGTATGGCCGAGAGTGGGGTGGATCCGCCCCCCCTCTCGAAATACTCTCACACGACCACGCGTATACAGCCTCTACCAGGGAAGTCTTACTCACTGCCTTCTCATGGCGGGGTGTTGTTTACGAAATTGAGAGGACGAAAAGCGAATGTCCGGCGCTGTAACCGCATTCCAAATCAATGGTGCGCCTGGGCTCCAGGATCCTGAGGGATTAAATGGCATATGAACCAATCGTCGGCCACCGACTACCATGGGACTGCATCTCCTCACGATGCTTCACTGCCTTGTGGATTAGACCTTAGGGTTAAAGACTCGGGGTGTGGCTCTCTAAGAAAACCACCCGCTTCGGTCTGGGCACCCGGGCAGTATCCCAGCCCTCACACAAATCGAATGATTTATGTAGCGCATATGTATTTGTTGCCTCCTTGTATCAATGTTTATGTGGTTAAATAAATAAATAATAAATAACATCAGACGATGATTATTCAATATCATCCTCAACATCTATCTTATTCTTAACTTACAAGTCAATAATTTTTTTTACTAAGACTACTTAAATTCATCTTGAAATCTATTATTGATGAGTGTAGAATTTTTATTTATTTTTGTTATAATAATCAAGCAGTTCATAGTTTTGAACGAATAGAATAGACAATTCCATAGCAAACATCGTATATATTTTATTATGGTAATCTACAGGTCATTATTCTAAAATAAACGGTTAAAATGACCAAAGTTTGATAACGGTTACGTTTGTGGTAATAGCAAATTCATGCAGTAAAATAATATGTGTATTTGCCTTTATGTTATGGGATAAATAATTTTGAAAAAAAAACGCACCATTAATCAACTAATAACCAGTTATAACAATCACATAGTTTACAGCTTCCATAAAATGTTGTTAGTAGTTAAGAAATCAAGTTGTTTCATTAACTGATAACGTTTTCTTAAATGAAGGTTTCAGAATAATTTTTAATGTAGGATAAAGTCTACGACAAAAAATGAATACGAGAAAGCAGTAAACAGCTGTTTCACTTTGGTTTAGGACTCAGTCTTGCGATTCTTCGCATTCATAGCTGAGACCAAATCTAGGACCTACACTCGTGTAGTAAGCGCTTAATCTTTAGACTAATAAGCCAGCATCCAATGGGGTGCTTCAATGCTTTGAAACTATCTATCACTGTTCAAAATCTATAACTGTCATATACCAGACCTGGTCGAACTTCACTAGTCATGGTTTCTTACAAGAACTCATGGAACTAAATCTAAAAGTTACTCACTAATGAGCGCATTACTATTAACAATGTACATTTAAGTGGTTTGCATAGACTGTGAAAATTTCACAGTTCATATAACAGACAATTGTCCAATGCTTTCTTCTTTTTTTTCAATGGTTGTTTAATCAAGATTAATTTGTAGCGTAAATAATGTTGATCCAACAACCTTTACAAACTCTCGTTAGTTAATAAAATTGGAATAGTAAAATTCCAAACTTTATTTCATTAACTAAAAATGTTTCTTTTTTCTATTGTCTACATAGTCTTCCCAAATTAATTCTTTTTTTTTCATTTTATGTAAAAAGCACTGAAGCATAATGGTCGTTTTAATTCGGCTAATTAAATGTATTGCTTGATTTAAAACAGAAAAGGTTTATTCATTTGTGAAATCTCTTTCTGCTATAAAATTATGTATAAATTTCAATAGGATTATGATCAAACTTCTCATCGTTTAAATTCACTTGGTATCATTTACTTGAATCTTCCTACTGATGTTTAGAACTGTGATTGATCAGTTTCGTCTGGGCATATGTGTATCTTGTAAGTATTGATTTGATATTGCCTTCATTCACAAGCATTATAAGTAAAGATGGATAGTGGATAGCAGTGAAATTCAGGACACGCCGTTCGTCCTATTTGAGACTCGTCAGATGGATTTACCCGCAGTCCTAAACACCAATGGGAAGATTCAAACAAACAATAAAATGTGAATTTAAACTTCACCTCATTGCACAAGATTTTGGTTGTCAGGACTCAGAAGCTAAGGGGATAACGAGATGGTGTTTGGAGCGAACGTTACTGGGTTCGAGTCTCAGAGTAAACATCCAATCTGAGATGCAGGTACACCCAGATGACAAGTTCATAATATGTTGTGACGCGCGTTTTGGATTCCACTGCTAGCCACTATCCATCTTTGCATATATTCCTATTGTTTACTTTCTAACTGTGGATAACATTTCATATACTTAACTGTATTTGTGAATATTTCAAAAAGACATTAGTAAATTTTCTATAAAAAATATATTATAATTAAAATGGTGAATATACCATTATGATTGTTTCGAAAGTCATTACATATGTTTACACACGTATAGAAATTTCTATGTACTCACTCAGAATCATGTAAAAACAGTTAAACTATACTTAACTTTGTCTACTTTCTGAGTTTTCTGATAGTATGCGACATACTATCACTCATTAATAAAACAATGACAAAGTTGAATAGTTGAATTCATGAGTCAATTGAAGCTAGACCACCATGGAAAACCTGATAGCACTGGACGACCGTTTCGTCCTGGTATAGAACTCGTCAGCAGTACGCATCCACGAAGTCGCGAGACGGGATAGTGGTCTAGTTTCAATTGACTCATAAATTCAACCATTAAATTACTATAATTCCGCTCTGATAATAACAAAATTGTTTTTAACTTATTTCAGTAAGTATAATGTCTCTGTTGAATGAAGGAATTCATTCCATAGAAAATGTAATACTTTGATACAGTTTTCTCCGTTTGATAAACACTTTAAACTACTATCATTGTAGAAGGTGTTTATGATTGGTATTGTTATTCATATATTTTTGTATTATTATTATTATTATTATTATTATTATTATTATTATTATTATTATTGTGGTTTCAACATTATTATTCATCTAAGAGCATGAATAATTTATTTGCCATTTACTATACGTTATTATTTCTTATTGAATTCATATTGACTTTATATTACTATTACCGTCTATTATTAAACATTTAATCTAATTTGTAATTACATCATCATATCTCTTACAATTTATCATCTGTATTTATTATGATTGATAATCTGACGATTTTATTTAGCGGTATAGATTTATTCAAGTTAACATTACGTAATAGTTACTTTAACATTGTAGATTTATTTTATTTTGCGAACAATCCTAAAATCGTATGTTACAAGTTTAAATGATGTAGTTGCCTTAAACTTGGTCATATTTTAGATTGGTAATTTTGATATATAACTGAAGAATCTGAAGAGAATTTAAAGAAACAATATTCTTCGTTCATAAATCAGTGTTTACCAAAAGATTTAATTACTGATGCATATTTCCAACAACTATACAAACATATAAATATCCTAGAGATAATACTTCTAAGGAGACCTTAGTTTATCTAGCATTTTATAACTACAGGTAAGTTCTTTCTTTGAAAGGCAATGTTTATGACGTTTTTCAAATTCATATTTTGTAATGATTTCTGTTGAATTCTAAATGGTTACCGCTATTGTTTAGTTTACTAACTTTGTGCATGTCATTATGTAATCAAAGCTGTTCCTTTTTGGTGGAGCTTTGTTCTCTGAGCTGGATGGTTTGGTCTTGGAGCTTTCGTCGTTCTTCTGACCGACATCATCAGCACAGACTTCGGGTAGAAAGCTCCATGACCAAACCATCCAGTTCAGAGAACAAAACTCCACCAAAATCGTCCAACTGAGCTACAAATCTCCACCATCTCAAAAGCTGTTCCTTTTTAACTTTTGACTTTTTTTACAGAATATAAACTTAACCTGTCTCATCTCTTCGATTAGCGTGTAGGTTGTGAAAGTTAGTGTTGCTAATTGACAGACATCCGGTCTATACAAGTTCCCTTTGATTGCGTTGTATTAGAAGACTCGTTAATCGTTCGTAAATAGGACTTACCATAGGCCAAAAAGAGACCCCGATAGACATTTATCAAGATTTAACAGGTAATTTATATACAAATAATTTGATCAAATAAAATTATTTTAACAGGTAAATAAATGGTTTTAAGTTTAATTACTTGGGGAATAAGTGAACTCCTGAATTCTCATCAGAAACTAACATCCACCAAACAACTATTTGAGAATAAATGAAACTGGACAGCTACTTCATTTTCGTTTAATTCTCAAAATCAGTGTATACTCACATTACTAAACACAGACTAAAATCCAAGAATATCAAGTTATATAATCAGCGTGATATCTTTAAGCCACTTAAATTGAAATCTACTTGTCAATATTTTCAAATTCAGGTGAATTTCTTATCATTCAATCATGTTTTATCCTACTATAAATTTAGTTAGTAGTAACAATTGCATTACTGGTAGTTTTGTTTATAGTCACTGAATTATGAAACCATAAAACTAATATTTAAGAAAAAAAATAAGGTTTTTATAGATGGGCATATTAACGAAACATGTATTATCTTACTTTTAACTGCATCTAAAGGTTTTGCCACAAGTTGTTTAGCGATATAACCAGCCATACCTTATGTTATGTATATATATATATATATGTATATGTATATGTATATTATTATTATTATTATTATTATTAAGATGAGATATTACTTTGAAGTGTCCTAGTAACAATATTATTTTACAGAATGATAATTATGTATATATCTGTATCGAAACAATTTATAAAGTTTCCACAGTATGAAAAAAAGAAAAATGAATAGTTTGCTAAAATAACAGAACGAATAAACTTCTTCTCTTCACTTGTAAATAGATAGATAGATAGATAGATGATGTTGTCAAAATAGGCGTAAACAATAGCTCATTAGTCTTTCAAATATAATATAAATACTAATATAAGACAGTAAAATAAATTATTCATTATTTTCATTGGTCAAAACATAAATTTTTAAACTGATTGGCCTATCACTTATTCTATTCTATTCACATTTTATTACACTTATTAGAGTAATTACCATGACAATAATAATAATAGTGGTAATAATAATAATGACTATTATTAGTATTATAGCTGTTATTAAATAAACTCATATTCATATGGAAAAGAATGGTGATATTCATTAGTTCGAATACATTTCGATAAAAGTTGATCTATCAGAAGAAGAGAAATAATTTTAAAAAAAAGATTAGTTCAGCGAAGAGTTCTCTATTCGGCGAATTCATTTTCAAAGCTGTACAATCGCATATATATATATATATATATATATATACTTATTTTTACAGGATGATAATAATGCTGATAACAAACTTCTGTCAAACATGGTGACAGTGAGGTCAAACAAAGGTATTCAACAAATTTTTTTATAAACCGAGGAAAGTTTAATAATCGTTTGATTGTTAATGGCTTAAGTATTCATGAAAAATTTGATGAAGAAATTATCAATGGGAAAGGATGGCTCAGCATGATAAGATACATGTTGAAACAGAGATGAAATTTAATCGAAATGATCGTGATAATTTCCCTATCTACTTTTTGATGAATACTTCAATCAAACGATTATTAAACTTTCCTTGCTTTATAAAAAAATTTGTTGAATACCTTTGTTTATTTAACCTCACTGTCACCATGTCTAACAGAAGTTTATTATCAGTATTATTATCATCCTGTAAAAATAAGTATATATATTTGCGATTGTACAGCTTTGAAAATGAATTCGCCGAAAAGCGAACTCTTCTCTGAAATAATCTTTCTTATTTAATGTCTCAATGAGTGTATTCCGTTTATCAAAGAAAAAAGAAAGACAAAAAACAAAGATCGATAATATGAGATGAAATATTGAAACGATTCATTAGTATTTGATGATTTCATTGACTGTCTAATAAAGTAAATATAATCAACATTTATTTTGGACAAAATAACAAACACTTCAATGAAGATTCTTCTTCTTCTTCCAATTACTTTTAATATTACTTAAGTAAGAAATTATGGAATAATTCATATACTGTGATCACAGTTTTGTTAGTATATACTTATGAAGTATTCAAGCATTCTGATTAATTGACAATGTTGTTCTTGTTATATATATGTTTTCATACTCTATATTGTTTTTTTTTAATCTTTTCCAGAAGTAATTCAATAAACAACCAGTTATTCTGATCTATTATTATTAATACTGAATGAAATGAAATGGTACTGAATTAAACTATTCTACATTTAGGTAATTAACTTGAAGAGGTATTGTTTCTTCATAAGAATCTTGTGTTCTAGGCTAATATTTACTAATGGTTAGAATAATAAATAAACTAGCTTTAACTTCAGTGGTTAATTTTTTAAAATTCTTGATTGTTCAAAATTTTTGTTACAAATGAAATCATCACTATTGTTAAAAAAAGCAGTTTTCAGTTACCCTGTTGTCGATGTTATTGACTGAATTTTCATCTTCTTTAATCATTAAATGTGCATCCTGCACGATTGTCTTCATGTAGACGTTACTTCGGCAGTTTTCATGGAATAGACAAAATGTGGCTAGCAGTGGAATTCCAGAAACTCATTTCTTCCTATTTAGGACTTGTAAGATAAATATACATGCATCGTTGGGTTGATGTTCTCACTAGAACAAGTTAGTGGCAGTCTGAACTCAGTAGCTCAGGGGATAAACCATTAATAGTTTGAAATGAAAGATACTGGGTTCGAATTTCTTTGTGAATCTCAACACTAAGATACAGATACATCCACTTGACGAGTCCCAAGTGGGACGAAACGTGTATCTTTGAATCGACTCCCAATTATGCTATATCTATTGATAGCCTTGTTATAAGACAGTAGCGCTGTTTTTACTTCCTATCAAATTTTAAAGTTTTTAACCATAGTTCCATAATTTCATATTCCCTTGGTTAAAAATCATCGGAAGTTAAACATTTTCTTATGCGATTAATTTCCCGATGTCATGAAGTGTAACTTTTGATACATCTTCATCTTTAATGAATGACTAATAATAATAGCTTTCTTCTATACCATTTGTTAAGTTACAGTATACATAAATCAGCTTAAAATATACAACGTTGTTGAGAGTTCTACTTTAACATACATATTCATAAATTATATCAAAACGTATTGGAATAGGATTCAGTTTCCAACCATTTTCAATTGTAAACGACACCATATAATATGTATAATATATATGAATTTTAGTATATAGATAAGCCATAAGGAAAATATACCGACAATTATGATGTTCCCTCTTTCAACACAACGGTAGGTTATGAACTTCTTGTAAAAACGCATTAAATATGTTCCATGTTTTAAACATTAAAAAATTCTTTAATATGCTCGTAAACCTCAAAATCTGCTACCAAGTATATAAAGACAAATAAAATCAACATACTATGACTGATAATTATATTACACAAGCACTCTAAACTTAACACAAATAGATAGTGAATAGTAAAAAACAGAATTATGTCATAAATGAATTAAACGACATTTAAAAATAATAATATAATAACCTGTATCCAGTCAGTCAGTCAACTACAACGTAGGACCAGGTACATATATGAATCGGTTTAAGTTGATATAACTCATTATCACAACAAGATGAACATCAAATTCGTAGAAGTAGTTACTTTGATAGTAGTAATATGTAAAAGAAAGATTGCATATAAGGATATAATAGAGGAGGAAAGAATCAGTTCGTAGAAACAAAGGTATAAAGTAATTTTAATCTCACGGTTTAAGAGAAGATAAAGAGTATACACATCTAAGCCATTGTGATGAATTCTGAGCCATATCACCTACAGTCTCCGACCATTGGTTACGATAGTCACGCAGACCCCAACCAAGTAGTCTACATCTACCAACATGGCTAAGACTAGAAGTTAGTGACTTTGTGAACTGATGCCACGTTTTGGTTTGGCCCCCCCCTAACCTGAGTTAGAGAAATTTAATCTCAATCTCTACTGTTTTATTACAGTTTTTCTAATGCATTTCATTAAATAATTAATCCAATTAAATTGTTTTCTATGAAAACATTTTCTATTATGACAAATGTGTCTAGGATTTTTCTTTCTTTTAAAGCACTTAAATTCTTTCTTACTTATTATTGTTCTGGATAATTGAGTAATAAAATGTTGGTTAAATGTTTATTTTAATGGATTTAACTTAAAATACATTTTCAAAAAAATACTTTATTTCACACAATCCAGCCGACGAGTCCCAGATAGGCGAAACGCGCGTCCTGGATTCCATTGTTAACCACTATCCATCTTTGCTTAAAAAAGCTTGTGAATTAAGGCTATATCGAAGCAATTCGCACGTGACGCACATATGCCAACATGAGACTGATCAATTTCAATGCTAAATAATAATGGGAAGATACAAGTAAAACAACACCAAGTAAATTTCACACAATCGTTTCAATTCATTGTAATGATATTACACAATGTAATAAGAAATAGTGAGGATTTTTGCAGAGTCCATTAGAAGTAAATTAACTAAATAAAATTGATGAAAATTATCACATTTTTGAAAGTTATTGATATATCATTATGGAGATTTATGAAGATTATAGCACTGTCAAAGTTGAATTCATGAATCAATCAAGGCTAGATTATCATTGAAAATGTGGACGTATTGGATGACCGTTTTCTTCCAGTATTTGGATTTCTCACTAGTGTTTGTGAATTCAACTGTGACAATACTGTAATTCAATCCGTCTCGAGTGTGAAATAGTTAACTACCTCAGATAATCGAGGAAGGGTTGCTCAAGATCATGGATCGATTGAAGTTAGACGCTATCACCAATCGATGACGGTTCAGTAGTTTAGAAGTTAAGCGTCCGCGTGGAAGATCAAAGGCTTTGGATTCGAGGCCTGTTTGTGGAATAGTGGATGCACATTGCTAAGGAGTTCCATATTAGGAGGAAATGGCCATCCAGTACTTCCAGGTTTTCAATGATGGTCTAGTTTAGATCGATTCGAGAATTATTGACATGTTACCAGTATATTATTATCCGTACATAAATATATTTGTCAGATTAATGTCGCACACGGATCATGGGACAATTTAATTTCCTTCCACTGTGGTATTTAATACCATATATTTTCTATAAATTATCACTTTGCATTGTGATATTAAATTCAATCATTCTTTATGCATCATTTCATTTTTAATAAAAACCTTAACATATTTGTATAAAAATTCAGTATTTTTTCAAACGTTTCTAGAATTCATTACAAAATTGTAGGATAATTTATGTCAATATTTTGCTAGAACATAATCTTAAAGTATCCAGTGTGATTCACTTGGTATTGTTTACTTTTATTTTTCCATTGATGTTTAGGACTCAAAATGATCAGTCTCTTATTGGCATATGTGCATCCTGTGCAGATCGCCTCGATATTGCCTTAAGTCACGATCTCTATGAACAAAGATGGGTGGTGCCTATCAGTGGGAACCAGGATGCGCGTTTCGTCCTAACCCGATTGCACAAGCAAGTGGCTATCAGGACTCAGTAGCTAAGTGGATGAGGCGATGGCGTTTGAAGCGAATGGTACTGGGTTCGAGTGCCAC